TTCTGCTGGGTACTCAGTAGTCCCCTGCCCTGTTTGGCTTTTCTTTCCCTGGTTACAGATCAATACCTTTTTCTCTGTTCACTGGCCTCTTGGATATTCCCTTCTGTGAAATGCCCATGAGTATTTCTGCCCATTTTTAATTGGATAGACTTTTTATTGATATGACAGAGTTCTTTATTTAGTGTTGACAAAAGGGCTTTGCAGGATACAATTACTTTGAAGAGCTCCGTCCTTTTCTTTGCCATGTCTTTTTACAGTCAGTCACGAATTCTGGTAACTCTCAGTCATGATTTTTGGTAAACGCAGTAGTTCCATATGTTAGTATCTTCCAGGATACTAGTCTTTTTTAAATAGTTACTAATTTTTATGTCTTATTTTAAAACATTTGTATGATATGAAGGTCATAAAGATATTTTTTCTATGTTTATTTTTATAAGTGTTGTAATGTAGATCTGTAATCCACCTAGAAATGATTTTTGCATGTGATATGAAACAAGGATGAAGATTAGTTTTCTCCTTGCAGGGTCGTTCAGGTGACCACGCCCCCTGTCACAAGAAGGCCACCCTTCCACACTCTTCTGCAAGGCAGCGATGTATATTTTGAGGTTATGAAGCGAATGCATCTTTAGAACTATTTGTCACTGTGTGGCAACCTTTTTGGCCTTGAAGGTGCTATTACCAGAGCTTCTCTAGCCTCCTCATTTATTTTGGATGACTTTTCCTTTAAAAAGCCACTTCATGACTCTATTCTGTATTGTTGCTATTTTATATCATTGTATTGTTAACAATAATGCAGCAAAATTTGAGTTTTATGAATCCAATAGAATATTATCATTTGTAATTCTGAACTGTTAACCTTTTAATTTGATAGTAAATACTGTAAACTGGAATTGCATCTCCTCTTAAGCACTGTCTAATTAATGGAGGGTTGTTTTGTTTTGTTTTGATTAGATTTAATTTTTAGTTTTTGAGACACGGTCTTGCTATGTAGTGCAGGCTGGCCTTGCAACTCGCTTATGTAGACCAGGCTAGCCTCAAACTCACAGCGATCATCCTGGCTCAGCTTCCTGAGTGCTGCAGTTACAGGCATGCACCACCACACCCAGCAACTGATGGAGGTTTTGAGATGAGGTCTCTCTATGTTGCCCACAATGGTCTCAAATTCATGGGCTCAAAGGATCCTCCCACTTCAGCCTCCCCAGCAGCTGGGACTGCAGGAATGTACCACCATACCCAACTTGGTGGAGATTTTTGAAAATTGCCTATTATATTTTAATTTGAGAATGGAACATGACTTCTATTACTTTGGTCTTTGGTTAAATTTTTAGCATGTTAACTTGAAGTCTAAATTCAAGTCTAAAGTTAATCAATCCACTCATTTTTTTAAACAAAGTCTTAAGACACTTCAAATCATCCCCCACTATAACTTTATTGTCACTATTTCTAATTTTATTTTTTATAAAATTAGGCATTATTTTTACCTCAACATTGAGTATTCAGACTCATACATGCTCTCAATATTTATTTATTCACCAATTCTTATACCTTATGTCTCCCTTCCAGAAAGTTTTTCAATGGAAAGTTTTTTAAATGAAGATCTACTGCTCAGAAACTAAGAGTTTTATTTGTCTACAAATGTCTTCATCTCACAGGCATTCTCAAATAATAATTATGCTGTGGGTATGTCACTGCATATGAGAGTTACTATCTCTCAAAAATTTGAAAATATTTTGGGTTTCTGCTTTTGCTATTTAAAGCCAGCTGTTCAATCTGTGTTATTCTTTTATAGAAAAAAATGCCTTTCTTCATTGGCTCCTTTTAAAATCGACTCTGTGTTTTTGGCATTCTGCTGTTCTGCCAATATTTCTATGTGTGGCTCCCTTAAATGGTGGGACAGATTATCTAAATGGTCAAAACTTCTTCTTTTCTTTGCATCCAAATTTTTTGATGTGATATTGCACCCCATCCCTTCAAAAGATGGAGTCTGTTTCTCTACGTTTGCACTGTAGATTTCACCAAAGGACCTGCTTTGGACAATAAAACATTAGCAAGTGCGATCAAGTAAAACAGCCTTGAAAAGCACAAATATGCAGGGGCTTCCTCTAACCTTTCAGTCTGAATCCTGCAGCTGCCATGTAAATAAGCCTGAGCCAGCCTAGAGGACAGGACTACACGGAGAAGAGGAACCGGAAGTGACAGCCACCCCATTTCCGGAGATGCAACAAGGCTGTCTCAGATCCTCCTGCCGGTTGGTGACCAAGACAGATGAGACAGCCACAGATCTCAGCTTCGCCAGTCCAGACCAGAAAGACAGCCAGTTGCCCCACGGAACTATGAGCTAAGGAAAATAGCTGCCCTGGAAGCCTCTAAATTTCCTAAGTGACTTGGTAGGCAGCAACACCTTCACTTCATTTCCTTCCGACAATGAGAACTGATGTCTCTGATCATAAACTCTCTCTTTCCTCTGCCCCCACTCCCCTCTCTCACTCTCTTATATTTTGGACTTTTCAAATACATAAGTATATACACATGCATACACATACACACACTAAAGGGATATGTAGAAGTTTTTATATAAATTTGTCTTTTCCAGCCACATGTGGTGGCACATGCCTGCAATCCCAGCGTTTGGGAGGCTGAGGCAGGAGGACTGCCATGAGTTCGAGGCCAGCCTGGGATACAGAGTGAGTTCAGGGTCTGCCTGAGCTACACAGTGAAACCCTGTCTCAAAAAACAAACAAACAAAAAAAAAAGTTTGTCTTTTCTATGCTTCAGTCTCTTCCTTATGTTATTCTATCTCTCTAATGCTGTTAGGATAATCGTTTTGATGATATTTTCTATTTCATTAATGCTCTCCTCACCTGTGCCTAATCTACTGTTCGGCAGCTTTACTTTGGTGACTGCATTTCTCATTTCAGGTAGTGCTTCTCAGCTCAATTATTCCCAGTTGTGTTTATCCTCTATAGCCACCATACACTCTTTAATTCATTACTTTTGTCTGTAAACATTTTTAAGGCAAGCATTTTAGAGTTATCCTTGATAATTTCAATTTATATACTCTCAAGAGGGCTAACTGAGCACTTTGTTCTTTCCTCCCACTGTCATCAAAGTGTCTTTCAAAACTCACGTCTTCACGGACCAGGTCTGGGGGCATCCTGGGAGATCTGCACTGAGTACGACTTCCTGCAAAAATAGCTTGCACTTTCTTCCTCAGGAACTTCGAGGTACCAACCCAGGGCCAGAACCTAGGTTTAGGCCTACATAATGATGATGGGGTAGAGATTCACTTCCTAGGGAAATGATTGTTTTTCCTTATCCAGAGATAGAGAAGGGACAGGCTGGTACCGCATAGCCTCCCTTTGCTAAGTAGGAGAGTTTTTCAGCCCACCCTTTTGCCAGAGGTGGCTGGCCCTATGTCCTGGATTTTGCTCAGAAGCTTCCAAACCAATTACCAAACATTCATAGGATCTAACACGTGTCTTACATACATCTCACACACATTGTTGGTATTTTAGACCCCAGCTAGAACTTTCCTGCACTATCTTGGGAATGCAAAATGGTTTAGACATTGGTAAAATAGTTTGGCAATATCTTATGAAGTAAAACATATATTTACTGTATGACTCAGCAATCCCACACCTACATATTTACCTAAGTGAAATGAAAACATCTGCTCACAGAAAAATCTGATGCAAATGTTTATGGTAGCTTGACTTGTAACTGCTCCAAGTTGGAAACAAGGCAAGTGCTCATCAGTGAGGAATAGATAAACAAACTGTGGTCTATTTATACAACGGAACTGGAATATTACTCAGCAACAAGAAGTAATGGACCACCTATATGCACAGGAACATGGGGAATCCCAGCGCACGTACTTAAGCACATACCTACATATGGGAAAGAATCCATTTATGTAACATTCTGGAAAAGGCCAAGCTAGTGTTAGAGAGAACAGATCAGTGAATGTTACAGGGAGACTGTGGGTAAAGAGAAGGGCTGCCTACGGGGGACACAGGGACATTTTTGGAGGTGATGGGATCTTCATCTTGACATAATAGGCTATGAAATTATAGAGGTTGTGCAAATCTGCACGTTGAAAGGGGTAAATGTTACTGCCTGTAAACTCTACCTTGATTTTTAAAAAAAGAAAGGGCAAACCCTGGAGGCTCCCAGTTTTTAGTACTGGCAGATGTTCTTCTAAGTTTTCTGTCCTACAAGTATTTTGTTCCTAAGTGTCCCTCCTTCTAAGTATGGGCGCATTTTAAAGATTTCTGCTGCATTTTATCCAGCATTTACAGGCATTTTGAATCAGGAGGATTTTTCATAATACCTGCTCTGCCATACTGCCAGAGGCAAAAGTCTATCATTCTTTAAAAGAACAAGACTATTTTAAAATTTTATGGTCTTTTTAGGTTTTTCAATTCATGGTATCATTGTATCCTCTTGTTTTCACGAAGTACAATAATGCAGTGATCTTCTCTGTAGACAAAAAGACTAAAGCTCAAGCAAGCTGGGATTCGTTTCTCATCACATACATAGACCTCATTCTCAAGCTTGAATTAACATATATTTCAATGATGGAAGTCAATTTGAGTATCATCTAAGCTCCCCAGAATTAGGAGATCAATGAGACACACTCTGAGGATCATTTACACCCCAGATCATCCTGTCTGGCAGCCCAGTAAGCTGTGTGACCTCTGGGCACATTACTTAGCTCTCTGCCTAATTTTAAAGTATCTATTTTACAGAGTCATTGTAGCAACGAAGTAAGTTAATTCATGGCAAGCACTTAAAAAAGCATGTGGCACATATTAAGTGTTCAGTTAGCATCAGGTATCATTATGGTATGCCTTTCCCACTAATGTAATTATATATACTTCTCCAGTATTTAAAATTGAGCAGTATATATGTGCACATATGAAAATATATATATGAATGAATGGATGTATGGATGAATGAATGAATGAATAATGAACAAATGAATGCAAGTTAGAACTTACTTTGAATAAGCCATGCTTTTGGTTGCGCTGACCAAGCCATAAGTTGCTTCCTGGGGGAAAGTTGGTCTCTGGAGGATCTATCACACGTTCATAAATCCTGTAGAGGCAAAGAGCACACTTACTAACAGACACAAAGCAGAGTGCCAGGTTCCCACACTGTCGGAAGGGCTCGTGCCTTAGCTGCTGGTATAGACAGAAGGAGCAGTAAACAACAGGTAACGTCTATGTAAATATCTGTTTCCTGACAGCCCTGGACATGTTATCTAGGCGTCTCCTGCTCTTCTCTCACCTCCCTTCTGGTAGGGGAGTGACCATGACAGAAAGGTTTTCTAGTGTCTCCTCTGAGCAATGAACTTCACACAAACCCTCAGGAAAGTGGTTTTATTTAAACGTTACAGGTTGAGGTTCAGAGACGGTAAACAGGTCAGCACAGTGGAGGCCTTCGAGTAGTAGAATAAGGACAGTACCGCTCGTCTGCCTGGCTCCACAGCCCGTGTACGTCTCTCTGCACCTCGCTGCTCCCACTCCTTGCTTTATGCAGCTGCTCCTCACCTCTACACTAACCTGAGAGAACAGTCAAAACTGGAGGGCAGCATCTGCCTACTTGACCACACGCTCAATCTACAAAACCCAGTCACTAAAGTCATCATCTAGTCAAAAAACATTGATTGAACCCTATCCTCCAAGCTCCACACACAGCCGCAGGAAAATAGAAAAATTAACCGGGTACATAAAGCCTTGCCTCTATGAGTGAAAATGAGATGTTCTGCAGAGGAAAAGAAATCTTTATCTGACCCATAACAGTCACCTTACTAACACAAGGCCACAGCTCCAGCATCTGAGGATTCCTATGGAGCCTGCAAACAATGGACTGTCTCAATTGTTCAGCTTTATCAAGGCCCTGTTATGTTACAAATGTTTAAATCCATACCCTAAAATAGTCCCTGCAATCATCCGCTAATCACAAGCCCTCCTTGTACCCCTGGCAAGTATCAGCTCCTGAAGCTCAGAGGGCTCTCGGTGGAGAGAATGGAGCCATCTGTACATTTCAGTTCCCAGAGAGAGCCCTACACTCTCCTGCTTTCCTCTGTCTCCACTCAAATCCCTGCTAAGCAGTAACCGCTCAGGTGTGTCACCAGTCTATCCCCTCTGCTGGGAGGAAGCTGACTGCCACCCCCAGTGGTTCCCACAAGCAAAGTGCACAAGAATTTAAGATTGTCCACTTGTGCCAAGGAAAATGAGGGACTGCCAGCCATTGTAGGTGGGAGGGGTCACACTGTGTCCCTTACTATATCTCAGCCACACCCATTTCTCCACGTGTCCCACTGGAGAGGTACTGCTTCCTAGCACCAAGTGCAACCCATTGTTAGGAACCTGAGATACATCAGGTCTTTCTCTACCATAATATTTTTTGTACATTATAATGAATAATTTTGGACAAAACTATCCGTCAAAACTGCTCTAACATGAGAACCTGTTATATACTTCCTTTCAAAAAAGGAGTTTTTCCAAACATTAGTGGAAAAACCTAGAAACAAGCCAAATTTACAACAAAAGAGAAATGCATAAGTTAGACTAGATCAGCTTGAAAGAATTTACTGCAGTCATTAGGAGTGATGAATACACAGGCTATGAAAAATGCCTAAGTACATGCAAAATAATTTTTACCGAGAATGTGGAATGCAAAATTATTTATGCACTGTGGAGATAACGATACAAAAATTATGTTCAATAGTGAGAAATAGAAGAAAGACCCGAGAGAAATGAAAAACACTGAATTTAAAGAAAGAGGTAGAAGTATAATTTCCTATAAGGCTTCTTTACTAATAAATTGAAAATGTTGTCAACCCATTTACCTTAACTTACATTTTAAAACATTTGCCTGTCAGAGGGAGAGCAGCATTCAATTCAAAAGCTTTCTTTCTGGTGCTCAATATGCTAGAAGATGAGCTCCAACAGGCAGAGTAGGCTCTAAATCAATGTTTATTAAGTGCATGAATGGATGAAGGACAGAATAATCAAAAAGATCAACTTCCTATCCTGCCTCATCTTCTACAAGCATAATGATTCCTTGTGCCTTAGAAAGAGTTGAGGAAATAAATACCGGAGGTCCCCGACCATCAGCTAAAGCACAGTGACCCACACATGTGTGTCAAAGTGATTTTTTTTATTCCCTATGCCAGACAGCCTCCATCAGAGCATCCTCCTCCTGCCAAGGAAAATACACTAGACACTGCTTTCCCAGCAGCCCTGTGGATTCCTTCCAAAAGGCAGTTCTCACTAGGGAATTCCATGCAGCAGGCAGAACCAACACACTGGGTACAGACAGCAACAGGAAGAGAGTTTTAAAACACAAAATTTCTTTTTAAGCCCAGAGGGAAGAAGTATAATTAGGAGGAGGGAACATCAGGCAAACCCACACTGAAGGACATTCCACAAATGATTGCTTGTGCACTAGAATGCTGATATGAAAGATAGAGAAAGGCTAAGGAAGAGTTTCAGATTAAAAGAGATCAAAGATACATAAAAACTAAGTACAGGATGGGATCCTAGATATCCTGGGGTGGGGAAAAGAGTCTTGTGAAGGACATTATCAGGAAAATTGAATCTGAATAAGACCCGTAGATTATGTAACAATATTGTATCAGTGCGCAATGCCCTGATTCTGAAAATCGGGCAGTATATTTAAATATATACCGTATATTTAAGTGAATAGCTTGTTCTTAGGAAAGAGGCACTAGAGTATTTAGGGATAGAAGGTCGTGAAGTTTGCAACTTACTTTCAAAGATTCACAATACAGTGTGCATATATAAGTACATACACATTCAAATAAGCACACTGCTATTTACAGAGAGAAAAAGCAGAATCTATGCAGAGTACATGATTGTTTTCTGTACCATTCATATAATTTTCTGTGAGATTAAAAGAATTTTTGAATAAAAACTTTTAAAGAATAGTTTAAAACTTCTAAACATTTATATATATAGAGATAGATAGATAGATAGATAGATCAACACTTCTTGTATTTGTACAAATGAAATGAAACAATATTATCTATTAGCCAAAGATAGTGATAATGTTTCCCTAGTGTATGCTTAGTGGGAATGGTAAAGCAGCAAAAAAACTGAATGCAAGAATTAATGAATGAAAGAATACATGAAAGGAACATTACACAGACCGATGCTGTTATCATAAACTAAGAAACAAGATCATCACATTCCTGCTGATATACGTGAAAACACCCCTGCCCACCTGATGTACAAACAAGTCAGAGTCTTAGCTAAAAAGCAACTATTGATCCCTGAGACACAGTTCAGGCAGTCTGGCTCATGTCAACAGGCAGGTAGGCAATGGTGATTATTCCTTTCAATTCGCTTTCACCCAACTCAAGCAAAATGAGAAGTCAAAGTTAATCTGGTGAACTCCTTGCTCTGCCATGTGCAGAGGAAAGAACCTCCTGGTACAGTATTCTGTCTACTGAGGTCTTTCCTCCTTATCAGTAAATGCCTGACTGCCAAAAACACATGTGCCACTGTTCTGGTTATGGTGATGTACACAGGTGACTTTAAAATGGTCAAGCCCCGCCCCTCATGTCCACTGCTGACACAGACAGGCATGAGGCACACACCTTACACTGCAGTGCACTGCATGCAATGCTTCAGGGGAGCAGAAGGAAAAATCAGAAGCAGCCCTCCACCTGCCACAGCTGGAGAAGACTTCAAAGAACGCACTCTACTGATTTTGAATGAGAATAAGGCACAGCACTCAGAATGCGCCAAATCTTGTACTGAGGGATTCCGATATATTGTTTTACTTAATCACCACACCACCACTCTCTGGCAGGTGTTCTTGGCTCTGCCAGAGAGTGGTGAAGTTAGGTTAGCAAGGTTAAACAACTTGTCCATGGTTAGGCAGCGTGTGAGTAACACAGCTGGGATCTGAACTCAGACTCCGCAACCAGTGTTATGACCACCTTCCTATACTGCCTCTCTAGGCAAAGGACAGTTGCAGCCATAAAAACCAGATGCAAGCCATATCCCAAAGAGAAACAGTAAATACTGTCAGATCAAACAGTGACATAGATGTTGTAGTCTTCCTTGGAAGTCTCTTCAGGTATTAAACATTTTTCAGAGCTTTCAAACTAGTTCTGATCAGTTTAAACTGATCTGGTCTGTATGTCCTGTTGTGCCTACATGTCACAAGCAGGAACAAAGTGTGATCAAAACATATGATGAATGTATAAATTTTTTAAGAATTATTGTAAGCCATGTGATCGTTACACACTACAAACATGCACTAAGAAAAAGTAATTTAAAAAAATTATTAGAGTAAAGACACATTACATTAATGCCCCTCAAAATATTTCCCTCACTTTGAACACACCCTTAGCCCTCGTTCTTGCTGCTTTCTGAAGCAGTTCTGCAAGTCCTCTTTTGTGAGTGTCTTAGTTGCTCTGTAATGGCTGCTTCTGTTTCCTGAGTTGATTCAAAATGTTTACTATCCATGGTCATTTTGACAATGAGGGAGAGGCAAAAATCACACCGAGTGTGAGCTGATGAATAAAGTGAATGTGGACACACCATAATGGTTTTATGAGTCTGCCTTTCATTAAGGTGGCACATGACAGCAGCCTTCACCATATTATTTTACCACAATTCATAAACACACTCCCGAACCTACCAGAACTGCTTCAGACAGTGGCAAGAACGATGAGATAAGTGTGTTCAAAGCAAGTGGGGGTATTCTGAGGTTGGTTAATGGCAACATGGTTTTTACTATAATAATTCTTGAAATTTCAAGTATTCACTGTGTAGTTTGATCACACGTATTTTATTTTCTTAAAAAATGCAAAAGCTTAACTCATTCAAATAAATTACAATACCTAATGTCCCTTACTTAGTGCAGAAAAAAGGAGAAAGAAGTTTATGTGACAAAGCATGTAGCCAAAATTGGCTCACCCTCACAAAACCTATTAGGACCTTCACCAGATAAATAGAATTCACAGAAAAGGTTTCCAGGAAAATGAAAGTATCTGCAGTGAGCACAGCTTGTAATTCTACATTCTTCCTTCAGAGGGGGCTTACATATCCTTTGTT